CGGGAAACGGGAACTGTTGTGGACGGCCGCCGAAGACACCACCGCGAGTATGATGACTGTTAACATGTTTATATCTCACGAGTTGGCACATATGGTAAGTATAATGCATGTGTTTGTTTGCATTATTTGATCTAGTTTATTTTATAAATTAATTTTCTTGGTATAACCAGTGGTTTGGAAATTTAATCACTTGTGGCCAGTGGTCTGACCTATGGCTAAATGAAGGGATCGCTTCATTCATACAAAACGTGGCCACAAATAGTACACAAAGTCAATGGCATTATGTAAGTGGTAATTAACTTATGATGTAATGATTGTATCCAGGTTAATTAAATGAAGCATCTGGGTTTATGTCGATATAGTGGGAACTGTACGCCAATAATACGATCGCCACAGCCATGAAAGAGGACTCACAGGAAGGGTCGGTACCAGTGATACAACCGGCGCTTCGGTTCGCGGACCTCAAATTTTCAGTCCCTATATATTACACAAAAGTAAATTGTAGTTTTTCATGTGTTAAATACTGACCATGGTGTAATTATTGGCTTTAATTGTAGGGGTCGGTTGTGATCCGGATGTTGGAGTCGGCGATGGGTAGGGAGCGGTTCCGCGACGGCATTCGGGGTTATCTCAAACAATATTCATATCAAACAGTGGTTACCGACAATTTGTGGCAATCATTAAATAAGACTTTTCCAAAAGTATTTGTTTTATTAATTTATAATAATTTATTTTTTGAATGCATTTTTATAATTTCCAAGAGTTATGACACGAATATTGTTGAATTAATGGACACATGGACTACAAAACCGGGCTTTCCATACATTAACATTACGAGAGATCCACAGAATCCACACATCGTTACCGTAACTCAGGAAAGGTTTTTATCAAATGGACAAAAACTTATTGAAGAGTAATGCAAACAATTATTTAATGATAATTAAATTTCGATATATTAAACATGTTTAAAATTGTCGTTTTTAGCACTTTGTGGACAATACCTCTCACATATTATTCATTCACAGACTATGGAGACAATTATGAAACAGTTTTTATAAAACAAAAACAGCAAACAATTAACATCTCGGTAAATGGGTTGATAAAATTCAACGCCGACTTTAACGGCATGTATATTGTTAACTATCCGCCCGACGATTGGGACCAATGGACGACCGCTTTGGCCGCCAATGAAGACATGATTGTCCGTAAACTCACACCCAATGATAGATCGGATCTGATTTTGTCGGCATTTTATTTGGCAAAAGCGGACAAATTATCGGCGATTAAACCGCTGGAAATGTCCAGATATTTACTCAATGAAACCCATTTCACGCCGTGGGCTGTGTTTAACACCGAGTTTGCGGACATTAGGCGTCGGTTATTGTTGACCGCATACAGGAGTCACTTGAATAAGTATATGAGGTCTTTGGCCGCTAAACAGTATCACCGACTGATGGCTTGGGACGACGGGATGGGCACTGATATCGACCGGTTGTTACGCCGACTGATAATTGAAATGAGTTGCGGAAATGGATATGAAGTGTGTTTAGAGGACTCGTATCAGGCGTTTAAGAGGTGGATGTCAGGCCAACCCATGGCACCCAATCTCATCACTTATATGCTCTCCTATGGGATCAGATATAGTGATAAATTTGAAGATTACGATTATGTTTGGCGTAAATATATTAATTCAGACGATAAACAGTATCGATATTTGAGCGCTTTATCGCAGACTAAGAGCATCACCTTATTGAATGAGTTTGTATTTTTACCATAATTCATTAGCAAAATTATTTATTAATGATATGTGAATTGGTTTTATTTAGGCTTTTGTCTAAAGTAATGTCTGACCCCTCGGTTCCGGTCAACCACTTTGTTTCATTGGTATCAGACATGTCGTCGACCGCCGACTCCCGGCCTATTGTTTGGCAATATTTTCAAACAAATTATGAATTAATTGTTAAGAAATTGAGTTCACGTCAGTTATCGCAAGCGTTTCTTAGTATTTGTAGTAATTTTGGTGACACTAATCGCAAATCTGAAGTAAGTTTTGTTGGATATAAACATTCATTATTTATTAATTATTTAATTAAATATTTTGCCAAATAAAAGGTGGAAAACTTCCTAAACCTGTACCCAAACACCGGTATCTCAAACACTAGTCGTGCGAACGGTTTGAATGAAATTCAGGCAAATATTGATTGGATTAAACAAAGTGCTGACACAATTGGCCAATGGTTTGCTACGAACAACAATTAATCATGATCTATTAGTAAATTGTAATTATTTTTGACATGTAATTTCATGCGAGTATTGCTGTAATTCTCACCAAACAATTGGACATATCATTGAAAATAATTGTATTTTCATTAAAGTCGTTGAAAACACTATTAAATAAAATAAATCTAAAAATAGCTATAAATGTTGATTTAATGTAAACATTTGTTATCAAAAAAATAAGTTCACTTTTAGTGTAGAAATATTTTATCTACATTAAGCAGTCTGTTATATAGTGTACTTTTCA